TCTCTGTGTAGCAGTTTTCCTGGTTCATCCCTCTGTCACTGCGGTTTTTATGTTGTTCTGTAGCAAAAGACAAGCAGAGAGTTTAAATGGTGTTGATTTTAGCAGCAAATGCAGTTCAAGTATAGCTCAAGTTAAAAAAAAAAGAGGAAATAGTTCTTGTTGATCTGTTGAATGATAGTGGAAATAAGCAGGCGCCAAATCTAACACGTATATACAGTAAATAGTTCTGGGGGGGGGGGGATTGACTCTTACATGTTAGTTCTACAGTCCCTGAACAGACAGTGTGTCAGAAAGAAGAGCAGCAGAGATGGGACTTCAGTACGCTCTGAATTTCTGGATACTAGCTGTTGTCTTTTTACCAGGTAAGAAAAGCAACAGCTCAGCATGTGACGGCATCTTTTGTTTGGATTAAATTTGTTAAAGTTCTCCTCAGTGTAATTAAAATCTAATCCGTGTTATTCCAGTAGGATTAAGGGATTTAGCCTTAAAACGTTTATCTTTAAATGTGCATTTTTATAAGATAAAAAAGGAAACTTTGCAACTTGCAGAAAATTCACATATGTTTGCGTCAGCATTGCCTTTAACCCTTTAAATGTAATGCTTACTTTTATGTAATGTTGCCTTTTTTGATATTTTTTCCAGGGGTCCTGGGTAGCGGATATGGTGTAGAGTATTCAATAAATCCACTCTGTGCCATCAGAGGATCCACTGTGGTCATTCCCTGTTCATATAAATATCCAGATTCATTAAGAGTAGAGACAGTCATGTGGTGTCAGGATGATGAGTACTGTGATAAAATGCTATACGTCTCTCACAGCAGTAATACAAACATTAGTGCTGAATACAGAGACCAGGCAGAATATTTAGGGAACAAAGAGAAGAACTGCACATTACAGATAAAGAACATTACACACAAATATGCTGGTGTGTATACATTTAGGTTCACGACCAATGTAGAAACGGGAAAATGGAGTGGAAAACCTGGGACAACTCTTAGAGTTGATGGTAAGTCTTGGTAAAAACTTTATTTTTTTTAGCCAATGCTGCAATGAAACAACAAATGAATAACATGTTTATTTAGAAAAAAAACTAGGGACTAAAGTTATCTTGAAGGTTAGTAGCTCAGTCCTTGTGGGAGGAATTTCCATATTATGGGAGATATTTTCTGCAAAAACAAAAATGATAATGATAACATGAAGATGCAATCTCTACTTTGCCAATTAGTCTTTGTGAAAGATCCTGCAAAAAATGAAAAATAAAATGAAATAACACCATTTGCATTAATCAATAATTTGTGAAAAATTAAAAACGATTTTTGTCTTTTCCAGTTTGACTTTTCTACTTTGTTTTTTCATTTTCCAATTCGCTTTTCCATAGTAGAGATTGTATTTTTATTTTATCTTTATCATTATTCTAATTTTCTTGTTTGCAGGAAATCCATCACATAAACCTCCCATAAATCCATGCATTTTTTAAAGTTAAATTTTAAAGTTAAGACTTTACCAAAACAAAGATGAATAAACCATCGCTTCATGTTCTCTGTGGATTATAGATGGTGCATGGACTGTGCATTACTCAGAGAGAAACCTGTGTGCAGTGAGAGGATCGACTGTGCTCATTCAGTGTGAATATGGATATCCAGAGCCACACAAAGTGAACTCCAGGATGTGGAGTCATAATGATGTGGACTGTACTGGAAACCCATATGTCTATCACAGTAATAATACAAACATTAGTGCTGAGTACACAGGCAGAGCAGAATTCTTGGGGAACAATGTGAGGAACTGTACACTGCAGATAAAGAACATTAGAGAGACGGATGCTGGAGAGTATAGATTCAGATTTACAACAAATGGGTGTGAGAAGTGTGGTGGACCTGGAGTGACTCTTCAAGTTGATGGTGAGTTTTTTTTTTGGGTTTCAGTTACTGATCAAACATATTTCATAAATGTTTACATTGTTTTATAGAAACGTAACTCATTACTGAATATGAATTACTGCTGGTGATGCTGTGCATAATGTTTCTTAATAAACTTGAGAATATCAACCAGAAAGCAGATTACAGCACTGAGATGCTGAGTACATGATCAGGCATAATAAGTTATTATTATTATTATTATTATTTTAATGCGTCACTTATTTTTAGGATTTCACTTTTTGTCCAAACCATTTCTACTCGTGATAAATATTACTGCTGAAATGTGAAATAGCTTCTTATATTATGTACTGTATACTTTTAGAACTAAAGGTGGTGATGACCTCATCCACAGTAAATGGAACAATAAGGGAAGGAGACACTGTGAACCTGACATGTGGCACAAACAGCTGCTCTCTCAGCCAATCAGAATTCAGCTGGTTTAAGGACAACCAGACGCTCCCAGAAACACAGTCCACACTTCACTTCAGTCCCATATCCTATCATCACACAGGAAAATATTCATGTGCTTTAAATGACAGAAAGGTAGCTGTATCTAACGAAGTGAATATTATTGTTGAAAGTAAGTTTATAAACTTTAATAAAGGAATTATTCTTTTAAACTTTTACATTGGCTATAAAAAGTATGTATATATCATTTTATATTAGAGGAATTAAGTATTGACACAACAGTGCAGAACAGCAGCTGAAATTATATGTGTGAAAATTAACTGTAGGCTTTATGAAGCAGGATTATTGTTGTGTGACTCAGCATTTCATTTACATATGAGAATTACAAACATTGCTGCTTCGTTTTTGTTTCTCCATTTTATGCTCCTTGTTTGCATTCCAACATATTTGTTTTAAGATGACCAGTATTTGTAATATTCATGTTACATATTGGGATCCTTATAGTTAATCAGTTTATCTTATTAACATGATTAATCCCTCACTGTCAGTTCTGAGGACACTGGGCAGTAACACTGTAAGGTTACTCCATCACTACTGTCAGCTCTGTAAACAGTGTGTATCTGATGCAACGCTTTCCTTGTTTTCTCTGTTTACAGGTAATTTTAATAAAATTATTATATTCACTGTTGTGGGAATATTATTGATTGTGTTAATTGGAGCTGTTGTGATTTTTATCTTCATGAAAAGGTAATGTATTGTCTTTAAAGACCTGTGTCACTACATTCCTTTCTTTTAAATTTGAAATTAAACTGTGCTGCTAAGCATTTAATGTGTCTCTGTTACAGGATAAATTCACTCAGTGTGGACAAAACCAAAGAAGGAACCAACAAAGTATGATCTTGTTTCTGATTATTTCTTGGTCACATGATGCAACAGGTTTTATAGACAAATTTTTATCATTTGAATTCACAGAGAGAAGACAAGGACCTGTGCAGCGATTCAGAAACACAGGCTGAGTCAGCTATTTATTCCAATTTCATGGCAAGTATAAACTGTACTGCTTTCTGCAAAATGTATATCTATGTAATTTTGTTTAATGCTTTATTCATTTCTGTTTTCCACCTTAGGACTCTTCTAAGGAGAAGAGTGGAACCAGCAACAGATATTCTGAGGAATCCTGTGAGCTCCCAGACTATGGAAATGTAAATATTCAAGAACGAGTTTATGGAAATGTAAATTTTGAATTAACCGAGTATGAAAATGTAAATATCAAAGAAATGGCAGAATAACAGAGCTGGTGGAAGAGAAACAACTTGGGTCAAAAACACATTAAATAAATGTACAGATGTTACATAGCTGTTACATAAATGTACACTGGTGTTACACTTTTAGTATCTGTGGCTACATTTTCTTGACACACACACTTGACACACAAGATAATTCTTGCCATAAAGAGTGTAAGCTTTATTTCAAACATGTAATTGAAAGAACCATAAAAACTGAATAAAGCTTTTCTTTTGTTTATATTATCAAGCTTATATGTATTTCATATAAAATGTATAACTAGGCTCCACCCCCCCATGCCCCTGACTAAAATAGAGGATGGATGGATGGATGGATGGATGGATGGATGGATGGATGGATGGATGGATGGATGGAAGGAAGTAATGTTTATAGGCTTTAGACCACTGTGAGTCTCTGTCCACAGTCCACTGATAATTTGTACAGAAGGTGGCAAAACAAGAAAAACCCAGGTCCCCATCTGAAATCATTCTTAATACTGTTGTGTCATCTGCAGATTTGATGAATGTGTTTGAAGGGATGCAATTATACAGATGAAGGGAGTAGAGGAGAGGATACAGCCTCTTTCAAAGCACGTTGCAATAAACGTGTGTAAGTGCCACTGGTCTGTAATCATGCCGACAGCTGATGTTAGTCTGGGCACTGGTATGATTGTGGCTAATTTCAGACAAGCAGAAAATGAAGAGCAATATTACATGGAACAATAAGATTCTCAACATGCGACTAACGCTCCAGAATGAGTATCAATCTGTAAGGACCTATGCTGATTTCATACAGCATGCTCATTGCTCCATTTTCATTTTTCTAGATTGAACAATTTGGGATTTGGTATGCAAAAACTAAAATGCAACATAACACTGCAATTTGTACTTGCTCTGACAAGCATTAGGAAAATAAAACAGCAATGACTTATTTTTGGGTGTCTTGGGTGGTGTGACAATAGGTGAAAGACCTACAAGGAAGAAATTGAATAAATATTCTCTCCCAGAAGAGGGCGCCAGACACAAGTCTGTAGAGTGTATGTAGTATCACTCGAATGGGTTCTCTGATTAATTGAGCTCTTGCAGATCATCTGACACTGTCAGCTATCTCAGCTCCTGTAGAGTTGTCCCCATGGAGTGAGGAAGCATGTGGAAGGAGCAACAGGTAAGACAAACAATCACGTTTATAATTCCAGGTTATATATTGGAAATTATTATAGATTGCAATCAAACTGCATTTTATGAATAATTATTGCAGAAATCCAGGTGATTCTCATGGGTTCACAAAACTTTCCTTACAATTGTATTTGAGTATGCATTTCGCAATTTTGACGTTTTTAAATGGTTTTTTTCAATATTACCCATTTCTTCTGCCTTTGAAATCTTCGTTGTTCCACGGCTGTATATCGCTCTGACAACATATTTGGCATTTCCCTAAACTGACCGTTTCACAGGACACACCGGGAGTGAGGTAGGAGGTGCCCTTGATGACATGTCCTTTCATTGGAGAGCTTACATTTGCACTCACAATCGCACTCTAGGGCAATTTAGAGAAAACATTTCAACGAATAAGATAATATAAAATAATATAAAATACCTGTTACATAGTATTTGCTCTGGCTGCACTTTCTCCTACAGTGAAACTGTATTTCACTAAGAGTTTCATGCAATTTGTTACATGTAAAAATTGTTTCATGAAAAAGATGATACACATCAATTTGCCTTTGGAAAAAAGGATTAGCTTTATTTACAGTTTCTTCTGGATTACAATAAAAATGTTTGTGTTGTCTAGACCAAAACAATGTTCTCACAGCCTGAAAAATTAAGATTACTCAAAATAAACTGTTACACTGGAACTTAGAAGTGTTATGTTGGCATAGGACAGTCCTTTGATTGATTACAGCAATATTTCCAGTCTTTCTTTCATTCCGTCTTCAGTGACTTTCACCCTTCTTCCCCACAACCTAGATATGATTAAAAAAAAAGTTTTGTATTTAGGCATATTGTTATTTTTCAGATCGAAGTTCAAACCTTAAAGGGTTAAATAATTTTATTTATATAATTAAAGTTACAAGCAGTAGTTCCAGGATTCATTCAAACCACTGATTTTGAGCTGTACTGGACATTAAGGCTAATATGTCCTAAAAATTACTCATGCTTATTGTCATGAATTATTACAACGATAACTCTCACCAATCAAGGAATGATACAACAGGAATGGAAACAATTCCGACACTTAATTAGGCAGGACAAAAAAAAATCATTAAATGCCATTAAGGCACTAAAGCTTAATTATATTAAATGTCACCCAGTTCTGGCTGTATTACATGTAGAAGCAGCTGCTTTCTTAAACCAGCTTAAACCTGTTGCCGACATAAGATATGGTTATCTTTAATGGATTAATTTAATAATATTGGATAAGGTTGTAAAATATGATAGCTTGATAAACTACACTTCACCTTATTGGAGAAATGTAGACTTGTATTGAAACTTGTCTGCAAATCAGGGTTAATTTAAGGAATGATTTAGCCTAGTCTGAGTAGTAGCTAAACTTTGGTCAGAGCTGAATTGCGTAATCACACAGTTTTTCTGTTTTTGAGCGTGAAAAAGGAAAATACACACACTTCTCCCACAACATTCATTGCAAGTACACTAAGTTTATTTTCTCTGTTTTTGAGCATGAAAAAGGAAAATACACACTTCTCCCACAACATTAATTGCAGGTACACTAAGTAAGCGTAAAACATACTAAAACTTACCCGTTTGAAATCATTCATGTTTGTAGCTTGTACAGGTGTTCCAATAAAAGTTAAATAATTCACTTTTGTTGTTTCCTCGTCACCTTGGTTTGACTTAATAAACAGCTGTAAGAAGAAATGTTTATTTTTTATATCACATTTCATGGCTATTAATATGCCCAAATTATTTAAAATTATTTTTAATCTAGGAGAACAAGTGTCAATTGACAAATTGATCACAATGCATGAGTCTTACTTAAAAGTAAGCAGTTTCTTTGTCTTAAGGTGTGATAAAAGGGACTGAACTTACAGTGACACTGTTAACATTTTGAAACTTGACATAGCGAAGGGGAATCAGACTGTCCTCCTTGAAGTCCTCATCTGTCAGTTCAAGTGTCTGAGTAGCCTCACTTCTCTCAGCGTCATCAAAGTCCATTGAACGCGGCAAGTTGATGAAGATCTTCACAGACTTTGGCGCGTGAGCTAAGCATGATTACAACAAAACAACTTGTTTTGTCAGCCGGCAATGCTCAAGGAACAACACACAACACCTGACATCAAGTCAATTAAATTTTTGTCCCAAGACAAAATTGGCAAAATTTGTCCTAATACAAACTTGTTTCATAAAACAAGACTTAAAATGCCAATCGGAACCAAAAAGTTGGTTACTAGCGATTCAAACGCGCAGTGAAAATCCAGATACCAAATATTTGATAAAGATGAGACAGATATACTGCCATTTTTATACTCTTTAAAGCAGGGGTCTCCAACTCCGGTCCTGGAGAGCTACTATCCAGTAGGTTTTATATCCTACTTGGCTTCTGATGAGTCACACCTGGCCCTGGTATTTACCTGAGAACAGGTGTGGCTCATCAGAAGGCAGGTAGGATAGAAAACCTACTGGATAGTAGCTCTCCAGGACCGGAGTTGGAGACCCCTGCTTTAAAGGGTTTGTGGTTATGAAGTTCTTGATTATGCATAAAAAAGACAATCACAAGTATATCAGTATTATAAACCACTATATATGTTCTTAGGTAAAAGAGAAGAATGATCTTACCTAAGTCAGATGATTGAAGTTTCATTGAAAACAACTTCACAGGCTGACTGAAGGCCATCGTAATGAGCAGCTGTAGAGAAAACAAAAAAATAAAGCAAATGCGTACTTATTTTATATATATTTGCGCTGCTATGAAAACAGAATATAATGTATTTTAATCTTTAAACGTTAACTCTACTTCATTTGCGGTATACGGGTTAAAATGCAAGGTATTTTCTTGTCATCGCAGCGCAAATGCACAGGAAGTATGCATTTGGCTTTTACAAACAATCGATTGTCGCACGTATCGTTCTTAAAGGTGAATGCGTACTTGCGTACCAGTTATGTGCACCCCTGCTTATATTAGCTATTCCTCCTTACACATTAGGTACCCCACAGAAAGCACAAAGCAGAGAGTAGGGGTGTTTTTCCTCATAAATGCCAGTCTTTTGTAATTGTGAAAATGTCTGCATTACAATGGGAGATTTTTGATCCTTTTTATTTGTACTATATTTAGAAATAAATGACCTGTTCATCACACTCAGATTCCAGGTATGATGAGTCCTTTACTAAACAGTTGTCAAAGCCGCTGTCATCGCTTTCATTTAGGCATTCACATCCAGCCTTGTTTACAAATGGCATAAGGTCCATCTGAGGATAAAACAGAGACAAAATAACAACCTATTAGAATACCAAGTATAGTACATTGTATAAGGACAATGAAAGATTCACGTTATACAGACATCATTCCCTATTTACGTATCCTATACAAGGCAACAAATGTTTTGAAAAACCATGCAATATCAGTACTGCCTGCAGTTTGCTGAGACTTAAATGACTGCATTTCCCATCAAGCTTTGTGGTTTATACTGATACAATTCTGTAATACAAAAAAAACGTCAGTTGCTGAGTCTCTAACATTCCATTTACTGCTCCACTTAGCATATAACAAATGGCCAAAAGAATAACAATAAAAGCATTCTTGATTAATCCTGTGGACTAATTTTTAGATTTTAAGTACAATATAGCAGAAAAAAATGCTAATTATTATCCTGGTACAACCAAAGCCCCAAACAAATAAAGTTTGCCACAACTTTAGACCTTTGTACTCACATATCCTTTTGGGATATCAGACCTATGTACTCAAATATCCTTTTGGGATATCAGACCTATGTACTCACATATCCTTTTGGGATATCAGA